CCCCAAAGCTGCGGTTGTCAGCTGCTCATCCGGAACGGCTCATTCTGAGTGATTGGGCCATTATTAAAATCTGAATTACTCTGTCAATTGCCTGGAATTGCCAAACCCGCCGGGAACGCCAGGCCGGGCTGGCTGATTGACGCGGTCTGAACACTCATTAGCTGGCTCCTCAGAACAGCTGATCCAGGCAGCCAAAGGGGGGGGAGGGGTGCAGGAGAGAGGGGGGGGGTGGAAAGAGAGAGAGAGAGAGAGAGAGCTCAGCTCCTATTTTCTTGGGGAAAAATAGAATAAAATCCCTTTTTTCCCCATCCCAGACAGGCAGGGAGGACGAATGAAAACCAAAATGCCTTGCAAAGCACTTCGCTTCCTTTCCTCTTTGCTGCTGGGGGGGAAGATCATGGAGGGGGGGAGGAAGAGGGTGCAAGGAAGGGGGGGATTCCCAACTGCCCCCAAACCCCATTTATTCAAGGGAGCGACTGCAGAAAACAACAGGAGCTTTCTGGTTGTCTCATTTCTCTCCCCCCTCCCCAAATATAAACAGGAGCTGAACCAGCAGCCCCCAATCGGGGAAATTACCCCCCACTTCATCGAAAACCTTCCGAGGCCAGGATGGCACCGAGTGGCAGCGAATACCCCAGAGCGGCCCGGCCGAGCCAGGATTCCCCAGCTGAGAATGAAGTCGCTCGGAGCCCCGGAGGTGAGGGGGAGCCGAGGAAGGCGGGGTGTGTGTGAGTGTGTGTGTGTGTGTGTGTGTGTGTGTGTGAGGAGCCGTGCAGGGGGCTTGTGTTTGGCAACCTTGGCAGCTTTAAGAGGGTGGGCTTCCATCTCCCAGAATTCCCCAGCCAGCTTTGCTTTGTGAAGTCCACAAGTCTTAAAGTAGCCAAGGTTGAATTTCCTCCTCTGTGTGTGTGTGTGTGTGTACACCTGGCAACCCCCGCCATGAATGAGTGCCTCTGAGCATGTTTCAACTGCCTGCCTTCTCCACCCTCATCCTGGTGGACCTGCCCCCAGCAGATTCCACCAGATCTCTGTAGCTGGATCCCTTCTGTTCCCTTTCCTCCGTCTTCTTTTCTCCGCTGCTTAGGGATCAAGCGAGCCCACGCGGGCCCAACTGCCGGCACCAGAGACCCCGCTGCGCTTCCCCACCAGAGCCCCTCTGCCCAGGGGGCAGGACCAGGTCCAGTAGGGTGGCTGCGTCAGGCCGGGGACCCCCACCCACCCGCCCAGCCGGGCCTCTGTGTAAAAGGGGTGGAGGGCTGGGCGCTGAGATTCAGCCGCCATCCCACCACCCTTCTTACCTCATGAGGTCAGAGCGGAGCTTAGGCCGAGCTCCCGGGCTGATCTTCCACCTGGGCCCATCGCAGACAGTTGGACCTGATTGTGTCCGTGTCTGTTTCCAGAGAAAACGTTGGCTTTTCCCTCCCGCCATTCTCGGCTGCTCTCTTTCCTTTTGCAGGAGCGTCCTCCATGGCTCTCTCCCACGCAGAGCCCCCCGCCTCTCTTCCTGCTGTGCCACCCAGGGAGGAGAGTGGCGGGCCCGGGTACCCCGCGGTGGGGGCAGAGAGGCAGGCGGCTCCCTACGGCCAGGCCGTGGCTCAGCCTGCTGCCCCTGCGGCCCCCCGGCCCCCTCCTCCGGACGATGACGAGGAAGAGGAAGCCAACAGCTACGACTCCGACGAGACGAGTAGGTGGTTCCGGTGTCAGGGCTCCGGGAGTGACGCCCGTTTAAATCACGAGTCCCTAGCCGGGTTTTCAAAGCTTAAAGAAGATTTATTGGGAGTGAAGAGGCCGGCCCTGCCTGGGTGCAGCCGACTCCGAGACACACCGTTCATTTCCCCCCCTTGGCCCTGGTCTTCCCCCACCCGGACCCATTCCCCCTCCGCTCCTGTCCCAACAGCCACCCTGGGGTCCTTGGACTTCAGCCTCCTCTACGACCAGGAGAAAAGCTCCTTGCAATGCACCATCATCAAGGCCAAGGTAGGCCTCTTCCTTTTCCCCCATCAGGGACAGGTGGGCTTTAAGACAGGTGGGTCAAACTGGCGGCAGGGGAGCAGGTAAAGGGATATTTTTTTTTCTTTATATAAAGCCTTAGTAAGGCCACACCTAGAGTCCGGTGTCCAGTTTGGGTCACCGCACTATAAAAACAGATGTGGAGACCCTAGAAAAAGTGCAGAGAAGAGCAACCAGGAGGATGAGGGGAGTAAAACATACGACGGACGGTTGCAGGAACTGGGCCTGGCTGGTCTGGTGAAGAGAAGGACCAGGGGAGACAGGAGAGCATCTTCCAATATTTGAGGGGCTGCTCCAGAGAGGAGGAGGAGGGTCAAGCTATCCTCCAAGGCACCTTTGAAGGCCAGACAAGGAATAATGGATGGAAACTGACCAAGGAGAGATTCAACCTGGAAATAAGGAGTTATTTTCTGACAGGGAGAACAATCAACCCATGGAACAAAAGTTGCCCTCGGAGGTTGTGGGAGCTTCATCACCTGAGACTTTCAGGAAGAGGCTGGACTGCCCTTTGTCAGAAATGGTGTAGTAGGGTCCCCTGCTCGGGGTTGGACTAGATGACCTACAAGGTCCCTTCCAGCTCTGTTAACCTGCAATTCTCTCCGCCCGGTTTCCTCCTCTCGTTGACCTCTGCGGGGTCTTTCTTCTCTCAGGGCTTGAAGCCAATGGATTCCAACGGACTGGCGGATCCCTACGTCAAGCTGCACCTGCTGCCGGGGGCCAGTAAGGTAAGCGGGGGAGGGGAGGATCTGGAGGCCCAGCGTGGCTCAGTCCTGTCTCTGAGGTGGGACCTTCTGGAGTCAGGAGAGAGAGAGAGAGAGAGAGAGACCCATGGGCCCCTTCCTCCCCCCTCCCCCCACCCTCTTCCAGTCCAACAAACTCAGGACCAAGACGCTGAGGAACACCCGGAACCCCGTGTGGAATGAGACCCTGGTCTACCACGGCATCACGGATGAGGATATGCAGCGGAAGACCTTAAGGCAAGAGGTCCCCACCGGGAGGCCCCAAGCGGTGGGCCAGAGACGCTTTTCCTGCCTTTGAGATGGGGGCAGACGGGGTCTTCCACTCCCAGAATCCCCCAGGAGGCAGGAAGAACACGGGGCGCTTTGTCGTCGGCTGGTCCTCGGCTTACAATTAGCATTCATCCAGCATTCGAAGTCACAAGGGCACTGAAAGAAGGGGCCCGGGGCCCTTTTCCATCCTTGCCACCCGGGGTCACGGGATCAAAATCCAGACCTCGTCCTTACGACGGCCGCTCTTTCCTAAGGCCACGCGGTCCTCCCTTTTCGCGGCCTTTTGACAAGCGAAATCAAGGGGCGGGCCCAGTTCCCTTAACCTTGCCAACTCCACAAAGGGCCCTGATTTCACTGAACAACTGTGGCCAGGAAGGTCATAAAAGGGGGACAACGTCCGCTGAGCAAACGTCTCGCCAAACAACCGAAATCTGGGCTCCGTTGTGGTCGTAAGTCAAGGGCTGCCTGCGTTTGACGGAAGGCGCCGGGCTTCCCGTGTTCGCACACCGATTTGGGGCAGGCTGGCAGGCGGGAGGGGGGGGCCCTTTTCCCTCGAGGGACCCGGCTGACCTGGGCGGCTCTTTCCTGCTCAGGATCTCCGTGTGTGACGAGGACAAGTTCGGCCACAACGAGTTCATCGGGGAGACGAGGGTGGCGCTCAAGAAGCTGAAGGTCAACCAGAAGAAGAACTTCAACATCTGCCTGGAAAGAGTCGTCCCGGTGGGCCCCGGCCGGGCGGGGGGGGGGGGGGGGGGGGGGGGGGGGGGGCGGGGGTCTCCCCTCGTCCAAGGGTCACGCCAGGAGGAGGCAGAGGGAGGAGGGTGTCAGCGGCAGGTTCACCTCTCGGAAAAGGTGGCTTGCTGGTTTATGTCACAAACTGGGATGGCTGCTTATAAGCCGGGAGGAAGCCCGGCCAACAAAGAGGAAGGAAAACCCAGTAGAACCCGCTGAAGACCAAAGGCTGGACTGGTGCCCTGATAAACCTCTGGACCCCAGTTCCCTTGGGAGCGGGAAAGCGCAGAGTTTGGGGAGGGTCTCTCTGGGCACTGATGCCGCTTCTCCTCCGCTCCTCCCAGATGAAGCGGGCAGGGACCACGGGCTCCTCGCGGGGAATGGCCTTGTACGAAGACGAGGTGAGACGTGGTTTGGCTTCCCGGCAGAACCCCAGGCGCAGAGATTGGCCGCCTGCCGTTTGTTTGCGCCGTGCGCCGCCTTGTGGCCCCGTGGAGCCTCCGCCGCCTGCCAGGGTTTCTCCTCCCTCCGAATGGCGCTTCTGGATCCCTTTCATGTCGAGGG